TGTATGTTAAAATTTTCAAGTTCATAGGTTTAAGCTATATTTCAAATAGGGTACAAGTCGATGGCAAGCTCAAACAAATTTACGTTAGCAGTCAAGAGCTTATTGTCGGTGTAAATGATAATAATGAAATATATCAATATGTTAATAATACTTGGCATATTTTAGATGGCTCACTCAAATATGTTGCAATTTCTATTGATGGAATTTTATGGGGCATTGATAATAGTAACAATATTTATACACGTCAAGATAATTTGATTAATCAAACATATTCAAACAATAATTCACAAACCACATCTAATAATGTGATTAATGACCCGCAAGACCACTTGAACGTAATTATAGGGCTATCCGTGGGATTAGGTCTATCAATTATTATCTTTACTATTGCAATTGTTATTATTGTTCGACGTTACAAAATAGTACTTAGAATCGCCTAGATATTTTATATTGTCACTAGCGAGATAGCCAGCTAAGATGGCTAAAAATTAAATTTGCCATAAAAACAAAACATATCAGAATTTCCCATTTATAATTTTCTATTTCAAAAACTAGAAAAAAAATATAAATATCATTGGTGTTGTAGGTGATATGGATATCTGCAGTCTCGAAATCTACTTAAGTTGATTACCGTATTTAATTTTTTTTTTTTCATATTTGATTTTTTATTCAGATTTAATTAATTTAAATTTTTTTCACAAACAAAAGGAATGTACACGGGATAAGCTTGAAATATCTTTGTGCTTATATTCGAAATGAAGCGAAAGTTGCAATTTTTAATCTAGTTGATTTTTTATACCTGACATTTAACAAATAACGCTGTAGGAATTATATGATTATTTTCTTTATAGTTATAGTAAGCTTTTATAGAATCGATTGTATCTTGAAATTTTTGAAAAATGGTAAGAAAAACGTTGAATACTCAAGAAAATAAAAATTTTTGAACTTGAATATTTGAAATTTTTAAATTTTCATGAATCTCTAATTCTCAAGGAAATAAAAAAAATTGTCAAACAACTTAAATAATTGAATCATGAATCTAAAAAAAAATAAAAAAAATATTTAAATATCTGAAACGCATTTTTTTTTTTCTCGATTTGGTTGGCGATGCTATATCATCGTCCAATCAGAACTTGAGGATAATTAGATAGACATTTTTTTTAAAAAAAAAATCAGTGTGATTTAGAATTAACTTATTTCGAAAATAAGGGGAGGGCCAGAAAACACGTGTTTCTATTTTATATAAGGCTACCCCTCCTCCTCCCAGGTGACCTCTAATTTTTTTTTTTATATATAGATCTGTTATTTTTAAAAGGATCCCTCCCCTTAAAAAAACGTGTTTTCTGGCCCTTCCCTAAGTGGGTTAAAAAAAATTCTTGAAATTTCGAAATCAGAAACGATTTCCCGATGATGTACTATCATTATATAAAAAAAAATAGAATTAATAGATCACTTATTTTGAAATAAGTACGTCTCTAATTCTATTCGAAATCAGACATCTGGTCATTAATTCTGAATCACTCTAATACCTTACCTTTCAAAATCCAACGAGATGTGAATTGTGATTTAAAACGCGATTTCTGTTGACGGAAGACCGTACAATCGATAAAATACTCTTCTTGCCAAATGTTTAATTGTTTAAGCACATTTGAATACTTATTCTTTATTATTTATCTTTGACATTATAAAGATAATACACAATCTATATAATAAACTTGAATGTTTTACTCTATCGTTACATAAATTTCATGCCAGTTAGTGTAGATGTACGGTATATGTAATCTTTCGGCTTCAGGTACATAAATAACTTTTAACAGACATCAATTTCTTGATACTCATCATGTAAAGCTCGTTTACACTGTAAGTAGTGTAAAGTATTCTGCTTTCACACTGTGCATATTGAGGAATGATCATATTCGGTTTGTGAAATAACAATATGTTTATTGAATACCATTATACCATTATTATTTCGAATTTATTTACGTTATTACCAGAGGTATGGCCTGAATTAAGCATAATTTAGACGAAATTTGTAATTTCACCCCTGCGCGTTATTTAGCGGCAATACGGTATATCAGAATTCACTTAGTCATTTAAATTATATGTTGGGGTTCTTTAATATGCAAATATTCCGAAAGGTACGTGTATTGATTTAGGAAAAACGTCCTTATTATATAAACCAAAAAAAAAGAGAATTAAAGCCAACTCAAATAAAATGACAACATCAAGTTACTACCAAATTAATGTCTTGGTTTCTCAACGTTGATTTTTACTCCTTGTACATAAATTTTTTTCATTTTAATAGCTTTATAAAAAATACATCTTGGTTTTTAAAAGTCACGCAGGCGTATGGCTATTTCAATTATAATATAAATTAGAAATTAAGAATTTAAGAAAAATTGTACAAATAACTAAAAATAGAATAGAAAAGTACATAACTTTGGATAATAGATGAAACTTCTCAAAATTAATTTTCAAGTCCATACTTTAATTATCAATGCAAAATTAATAACCAACAAAGAAAGAAATATAAAAAGTATTATCGTTATTAGATTTATCATTATTTCCTTGTATTTTGAGAGTTCTAATATTGTCTACAATATTTGCAAAATTCATTCAGTTTTATGAAAAGCCGCTGTTCCATTAAAACTTATTGTTACTTATTCACAATCATTCAATTCATGAAAGCAACTTAAACAAGTCTTTAATTTTGTTTTTGTTGATAAATTAGCATATGACTACTCGCAATGAAGAACAATTAATGTTTCGTTACAATGATGTTTAAGTAAATATCAGGTCTTTTTGTAATTTTATAATATGTTGGTGAAGCAAAGATATAGTTTCATTCTTTGCAATAACAGTTTTCACAGGAAGAATTTAGAGGTGACATTTGAGAACTAAGAGAATTTTTTCTTACTAAACTGTTACATAGGAATTGACCCCTGACCCTACTGGGACCTCATAAGCATGTGAACAGTGACTACGCTTATTATTTGCCTCTAAAGAGTCACAAATCACATGTCAACAGTTTGAAGAAGTACTTGATTATTGTGACATACGGCTCCACAGTTAAGATCATCCTGAACTCCCAAATTGTGAGACTTAGAATAATTGAAGATTGATCATTCTAGAGATTTTTGTAGTATTTCCCAAAGCGTTTTATCATACGTAGGCGCCTATTGCCTATTTAGTTAATACTACACCTATTACTTTTTATTATCTTATTAGTTCCTATAGTGATGATGCAAAGATTAGAAATGATATGTGATGCAACATTAATAACACTTCCAAATAAGCCTGATAGCTGTTGCTGCAGAGTGACCTTAACAATCAACTGGCCTTATAATCACTCAAATTTTGCATAGAATGTACATATATGGGCAGAAGCAGCTGAAGAAGTGAAGTATTCTTACTCAATCATGACAGATCAAGACTCATTATTCAAAAAAATGTGCAAACAAGTAAATATAAGCTAACACTCATGAAGAAGTTGAAGTTAAAAAGAATAAGCAATAGAAAAGATAGTTGATCAATAGATAGTAATAGAGTTATTAATTGCTCACTATAATTAAATATGTAGCCATGTTAGATATTTAAAGATTATAATTTTGCCTTTAAGTAGTTTTTTAGACTTTGATTTTCTCTATATATCTTTATATATATAACTTGCAAATTTGAATTCTTCTTTGTAAGACTATAATAATCTTCATATTGTTGTTATATTTGGTTTTGGTTTTATATCAAGATATATAAATTCTTTGTTAATAAATACAATTGTATTTTTATATACAAAACCATTGTTTGTGTTATTTTCAACCTTTTGTATTTTTATATATAATTATATTGTTTACCTCTTTTGTCTAAGCCTTATGAAATCTTTTTTGATAAGTTGTTAGTTGTAAAAGATAAAAGAAAAGAGTGTATTTTTTGTTTTTTAATAGTGTATAAAGAATATTTCTTTAGTAAGTTTTGAAACCCAGATTTATGTTGGTAAAAGTAAACAGATTAAAAGGTAAGTAGGTTAGTAAGTAAGATATTGTTAGTGTTTTTGACTAATGAGAGCATCTTTTTTGCTTGTATAGATAGTAGTTAAGAGAGTTTGGTTTGTATATTTTTTTAAATAGATATAACTTGTAAAAGATATTCTAAAGAAAGTTGAAATATAAGATTGAAGAAAGAAGATATTTAAAAGAATAACAATTTTTTATATCTAATAAGAAGTAAAAAGTTTTCTATTTGTTGTATAGTATATCCAGAGTTGGTTTAATTAATACTTTTTTATCATAAAAGGTACCTTTATATCTTTAGGTTTTCTATGAGTAATTATTTAATGGTTATAAAAAAATATATAATTTGATATTCTGGAATTTTTAGAAAAGATATAGAGTAGATCAGATTTGGTTGGGTTGACTTTGATATTGTTAAGTTTATACAAAGTGGAGCATTATTAAGAATGTTTAATAAAATTTTAGAATATTTACAATACTACACTATATTATTTATATATACTAGAGGTAGAATTGTAATGGTAGTTTGAGGTGTATTTGAAATTGTTTCAGATAGAAAGAAGAAGTAAATTTTAAAGTAGTTATTATATTTTTAGAATATATAAGTAAGAATAAAATTATAGTAGATTTTCTATAGAAGAGAGAAATAGGTTTTTTCTTATTCAATACCAGATTTAATTTATATTAATAGTTATTAGAGTATAAGCTATTATTACTCTGGCTAAATAAAAGGCATATAGTTCAGTAATTAGATTAATTTCAGAAATAAAGATGCCAATTCTATAACAAGCATTCTGTAGATATTGAATATTAATCTTATTAAAAGCTTTGCATATATTTTAAAACAATATTTATGTCTTTTTGTTATAAAAATATAGTACTCAATAGTGTTATACAGAATTTTAATTGGAGTATATATAGAAGAATTTTTGGATGCTGCAAAGTTTAAATTAGAGAAAAGATTATTTGATAAAATTATTTTATTTAAACAGTTAGTAAAGATTTTGGTAAAGGTTTTTTTAAAAGGTTTAATAATAAAAATAAGCTAAATTTGATTAAATATAAAGTTCTAATTAGACTTTTTTAAAATAAGAAAAATATTAAAAGTTTTCTATAATGTTGAAATGTTTGTAGTTAAAAATATATATAATAAAAAATTTAAAAATCTTTTGTACTAAAAACTAGTATATTTAATATATTTATAGTATATTTTAGAGAGACTTGCTACTTTTTGGTTTGGAAAATTAGGAATTATTTTTGGTCTATAATTATATTAAATAGTTTATTATAGTGAAATTTAAGTTCTAGATATGATTAATAAAGTTGGTTAAAAACAAAGATAATTAATTAAAGAGGTTTTTTGAAAACTATTTTAAAAAATAATTGTATATTTGATTTAAAATTTCATTATTGTTATTAAGTAAAAAATAATT